AAATAAACTCCTCCAAAAGGAGGTGCAGTATTTAGCAGCAAGATATTCCAAACATGGTTTTACCCCAAGTTCTTTTTTCCTAGCCACGATCTGGAGGAGCCTGAGGAGGTGGTGTTGTTCGGCTTGATCCAGCTGAGCCATCAGTGCCACCAGCTCCCTCAGATGGAGGTTTATCGGCTGCGGTTGCTTCTCATACAGAGCAGGCAGGACACGCAGCAGCATCAAGTTCCCTGAGAACAGAGCAAATGAGAGGCCAGTGACTTACTGTATGGCCGTAGCCTACAGCTGGAGAGAGCCCTAGAAAATCAGCACACACCTGGAGACACCAGTTTTTAAGAATCATCAGTACAAAATAAGGGAGACATGGAACACACTGTAGAAAAATATATACTGGGCCAAGAAGACAAATAAATAACCTAAATAGAATGAATCATTGCAGGCATAACAATGTAAGTGTAAAAAAAAGAAAATACTATTAATGATAATTTTCATTCTCAAGTACAATATCATGAGAAGGCTGCTTAATGAGCTTTCAGATTTGAATGATTCTTTGTTGAGTCCTACACCAAACTAAGTGTGATTTAAATTAACAAAAAAATAAAGTAAAAAAAAAAAAAAAAAGAAAGAAGGCAGCTAGAAAGCACATAAAAGCTATGTTTCTCCTTTGTCGAGATTCAGACTTTCAAATTAAATAAGCAGCATATGGAAAGAATAGCTGGTTATTAAGAGAACTAAATATGCATGACAGTAAATTTGAACATAAATAGTTAAGGATGCCACTTCCAGGAATAGAAAGGAGCCAGAGAGAGTCAACTGCAGACAGACAGAGATATGCAAAACCCTCTCTCACACATTTTCTTAAGATGTCTGTGCATAATTCAGTTTGAAGCCCAGGCTCATACCAAAATATATAACTTCATATTGCTGTACATGCCTGCCTCAATATATTTAAGTTTCACTTGAACAACATATGGAAAACATCTGCCTATTGCAATGTAGTATGGCTCCTTTTTGTAAACCCTTGAAAGTCCTTAAGGTCTCTTTGGATTTGGTTTCCAATAGGAACTAGCACTCTGGCCTGCTGCTTTTTCTCCCTTTTAAATCTGAGCCTTCGAATTTTGGAAGATAAGCAGGTCACTTCACGGATGGTAGAAAAAGGATATATGGGTCAGACCGGACCACATCGTGCTCTTGCCAGACACAGAAAATGCACCCCAAGACACTGTTAGGTCTTGCAACATCAACTCTGAGCCAAGTAAGTAACGTATAATTTATCGCAGGTTCAAACAACTTTTAGTCGAACAGCTTGTAATGATCCCTAAGGGGTCCTTACGCTTTGGAGGAGAGCCTCCACACTATTCAGCCAGCCACACTTTTGCATCCTATCCTGAAGCATTTATTCTGCTTGAAGAATTGTTGGCTTCTCCTTGAAGGCAGCTCTGAGCCCTCTGTACAAGCACTGCAGTGCTAAAGGCAAGGTTCAGGCCCCACCTCTAGTCCCATGCACATGGCGAATTTCAGTCTTGTTTTGTTCTATATATAAAGCACAAAGGCAAGTTGCAAAGGAAAGATATTTGCTGATGAATTACCCTAAACAAATTAGCAAGCTGTTCAGTTCTGGCCACTTTCTACCCACATTCTTTGTGCAAATCTCTTCCTGATGTTACAAGTGAGTCTGTAAAAAAGTGTCACATTTTTACGAGTCTCACTAACGTACCGTGGGATTCAGGCAAAGCACCAATCCACCCAAAGTTAGAACTAAAATGGTGGGACCATGCATTTACTTTAACTTTTCTAGACTCATATCTGAGTTTGAAATAGAACAATTTTGTAACTGAATACACTAAAAATTATTTTCTTCTCTGGATAACTTAGTGCTTACAGAAATAAGTCCTCTCTTTGCACTTGCACACATTTAGTTTCTACTAGAAGTTTTCTGCTCATATGGAAGAGAACCCTTAAGCTCCAGTCAAATTTCAGCAATGGTAACAATTGCAAAAGATGAAATTCCCATGTTCCTGGACAGACAAAATTAATCTCAGCTGTAAAAGTGTAGAGGGAAGGAATTCAGCAGAGAGTAACAAAAACTAGCAGCTTCAAACAAGGAAAGACAGGCACAAACCTGAGACGTGCTATTGCCTAAGCTGGGATGTCACAGATAGGAAGGTGTCTGGAAAGTAAGACTAATTATTCAACCTGAGAAAACAAGCATTTCAAGTGTCAGATGTATTAGAAGAGGGATGCAATTTGATGTGACACAACATGATGGATTGCAGCCATGAAACTTCTCTGGACAAAAATACTTCGTACAAACACAAATTTGGGCAGTTTCCTACAGCAAGCATTGCCGCATTTATATTCACTAACCAAGATAAATGAAAAGCAAAGGCAATTTAGAAGCAACCCCATCACTTTGGAGTGATATTAAAGCGACCTCACTGACATGGAATTGCTTTTAATTGAATAACCTGTGTATACAAACTTGTAAATGATCCAAGCAGATACTACAGTTTGTGTCTGTTCCTCATATAACTTAAGAAAGGTCATGGAGCACAACCCAATTCACTCTTTTCTTTTCTTTTCATGTTTCAAGTTAGCTCTGAGTACTTCTTGCCATTTGTTTGTCACACCTTTTCAGTTTCTAAGGGTATGACGCACAAGCAACTCACCAACCTTTTGATTCTCAGAGCTCGGGCAGTCAGAGGTGATATTGTACCCGCTCCCAAGTAATTCACTTTTTTCCATCCTGCTTCATCTGTCTCAGTCTAAACTAAGAGCCTGAAAAGTATGTTTGTTGTCTGAGAATGGAAAAACATTATACTCTACTCCTTAATTACCTTCTTTCCCTCTTCCTTCCCCTACCACCCTTACCCCCCCAATACTTTCCAGATTAGATTTTCTCAGACTTTCCAAGCAGACCACACACTGGGAATTATGCAACTCAGGCAGAAACTAATGTACAGTTGGGGACACTCGATGGCTTTGCAATTCTGGCTGCAAGTCAGGCAGGGAGGAGGCACGTACAGCAGGAGCAACCACAACTGCGTGCTGTGACAATGCCAGCCCGCCCCGGCTGCCCCAGGACCATGCTCCGGGCGCACTTTGGCCACGTTCCCTGCACGGACGACGAGCAGCAAAGGTTGCCTTGTGCTCTCTGCCCAACTCAGCAGCACAGAAAGCCTGTAAAAAAAAAAAAAAAAAAAGAAAAAAAGAAAAAGGAAAAAAAGAGCCTTGTAGCACACTGCAAATGTAACATGGACAGAAGGAACTCTCGAAGCTATACAGTGGTGTTTTGACATTCCCTAAAAATTGAGTATTCAAAGATAAGAGCCCACACCTAATTTTTTTCCCCAGGATGACCGAAGTTAGGCATGTACCTCCCCAAAATGTTCACCTCTACTTTACCAAAGTTTTGAGGTTTCTAACGTATTGCGTCAATGTTACTATTTATTATTTGTGGTTGTGGAAGAGCAGCTGGAGGCCCCACAGTGGCAGAAACCCCACATACACACAGTGTGAAACAGTGAGACCAGTTTGGCACGCAGGAATAGCACAGTACCGTGGCCAGCAGTCCAACACACAGGCAGCCTAGGTTTGCACTAGCAAGGCTGGGTGCTAGGAGGCATCTGGTGCAGCACCAGACTCTCAGCAGTTTTCTGCGGCCCTGGAGCAGCGGGCTGCCCGGGGGTGTGTGGAGCAAGCCTGGAGGGGCTGGGGAGCAGGCAGCTCCAGCCTTACCTCCCTCCAGAGCAAAAGGAGAAACCTGCAAAGTGCCTCCTGGTCCCTGCTGCAGGAGGGAGCAACGCTTGAGGCCACGCACACTGTCTCTGCTGCCTCATGCAGCCGCACTTCCCACTCGTGGCCCGGGTGTTGGAGGGAGAATGAACAAGAACAGAAGTACAGGGCCCTCTTTACACACTCCTGCATCAAGTGATAAGGGGCTAAACCAGACTCAAATGGAAAGGGAACACTGATTGGAAGCTAGATGCAATTATGTGGGGTTTTTTGCTATTCTCTGAATATTTCATAGCCAATATATAATTTGTACCATATTATCCCTAATCTCACCTAAGCAATGCATCTCTGAAATAATTAATGGCCCATTGAACTGATAAGCCTTCCAGAATTTAAAACAGATTAACACCAAAAACAATAATACTTAGCACTAGATTAATGTCTAATCCAAGAGTGCCTTGTTTTGTTTTTTTCCAAGTTAACAGAAACAACTCTAATCATGCAGCTGCTAATCTACATGCTCGCAAAACAAGATACTAGCAGTAACCTATTATCCGCATAGTTATGATGTTGTTGTTGGTAATTAGGGCTAGAAAAGCAAAACTTTAACAAGCTGTCTTTATGAGTTCTCCTTTATTGCTTAAAGCAGTAAACTGTCAGTATATAATAGAAGTTTTTATATGTAACTATCAAAAAAAGCTACAATATTTAGGTTAAACCATACGTGTGTATCCAAACCAACTCCAGGTATGTTTATTTTTCTACGAAACCCCTCCAGAGCCCTGGCACATACCAACTACAAAATGAGTTTGCAGAGAACACTTTCCTTTCCGCAAATAACACAAAATAACATAACTGATGCAGCCAGTGCTCGCAGGCAGAGAACTCCAAGTGATTGCACCCCCCACTCTCACCCTCGCATTGATGCACGTTACAGCAATCTGCACTTGGAAGGGAAGCGGCAGCTCGCAAGAGCAGTTTTTCCCGTTTCTTCCCCTTCGTGAGCCAGTACATCTCCCCCCAGTGCAAACCTGGAAGGCTGGAATTGAGCAAGCTGCACGCCCCCTTCTCCTCTCGGCCAAAACCAACAGTCAGAAGTGCTCTTATTACAACACTGGCACTAGCATTGCTCATTCATTCAAGCTGAGGCGCTCGGAGCATTTATTAGGGGCTCGCTGTGTCTCACTAGCAGTCTTGTCTCTGCTGAAGTCTGACTTAGACTTTAGCTCCAGACAGCCCAGCTATTTTCAGGAAGCAGCTAAAGAATGCTGCCCCAAGAAATACTTTCTCTGCTTATGCTGTTCTGTGTTTTCAGGGCTTCTGTTTCTGTTCTGGATGAAGATGACGACTATGATCTCATGTATGTGAATATGGATAATGAAATTGAAGGTCCAGTTCTTGGTACTGAGGAAAGTAAGTAGATTTAAACTAAATTTGTGTTAAGTGCAGAATTGCATTCTTTGTTGCCTAGCTCTTGTAACAGTTATTACAAACATAAATATTTTTCTCAGAGGAAGAAGCATGTGCTTGCACCAGTAGGTTATTATGGTCAGCAAATGCTAAAGCACTTGGATGGCGTGCCTTGGAATTTGCTTTATACTCTCTATTTTTCAGTGTTCCTGCAAAAGACTGCCGATGACAATTTTAAAATAGCTATAATACACACCACTTTCCTGCTTTGATATAGAGGGACACGCACTGACAGTCTGGAGCTTGTAAGCCTTGCACAGAGCCAGATTTTGTCAAATGCTCCTTCTGTTTAAAAATATAAGTACAAAGGAATAGCAACATCTGTATCTTCCATTCCAGCTGTTTCATGCGACTGCCAGCGAGAGCACACTGAGTGGGACAAGCTCTTCATCATGCTCGAGAACTCTCAAATGAAAGAGAACATGATGCTGCAGCAGATGGATGAGATCCTGAAGGTGGACCTGCAGACCCTGAAAGCAGAGCTGAGCCAGCTCACCACCAACCTCGCAGGCACCTTCACCGCCACCATCGAGAAAGTCACCTCCCACGTCATGTCACAGGTAGAGCAGGCGCTTGTAAGGAACACTGACCAAGTTGAAGAAGCCAAGAGGCTTCACGAGTCCGAGCAAGGAAAGGTTCTTGAGCACATTCTGCTGCTGAGCCACAACGTGTCCGGCAGGCTTGGCCGGCTGGAGAGCGCTTGGCTGAGGAGGTCTGAGGCGGAGGCTCAGGAGACAGCTTTTCAGCAGGATAAATTCAGTCCCACCAGAGGAGACAATATCATTTTGAACTCTCTGTGGAAAGAGCTACAGCAAACCAGAGCTGAACTGAAAGCATCGCAGAAATGGGCGGCTCAGCACTTACTGCCAGCAGGTAAGTCCACGTGCGCTGTGCTTTACCAGAGAGCTCTCTTTGGTGGGCCTGTCCAAACAGACATCCTGCAAACACCCCTCTTGAGCACCTTCCTCTGCACACGACTCCAAAGCAATCTTATGAACACCACAGCAGCTTTGAGCAGTCCGTACATACAGGGAGGAAACCCATTAACTGTTCTCAGAAAAGAGGTGCTGAGATTTCCAAACGTGGGATCAAAGAAGGGTTTAATCAAAGTCCTTAGAGAGGGCAAAGCCAGCTAGATCCCACCTCCTGCAGGCTCTCCCAGATCAAAACAGTTGCCAGAGAGCAGCAAATGTATTTTAAACATACAAATTATGTTCTCTCACCTTTTACCTTCCCAGCTGGTAACTCCTACGCTTACACGCTAGTTGCTGAGCTCTCCTGTTCTGTTCATGCACGTACCTACTCTTCTCTCTTCCTAAACTAAATGTTGTCTCCTCACCAACTCCAACTGCCCAGGAGCAGAGCCTGATCTGAGGACACACTGCTGATGTCAACCAGCTAAGCACGCTTCCCGCAGCAGGGAGGGCACATTCACTGCATGCAACTGTCAGGACAGAATATTTCCTCAAGCATAGAAAAATTAGTAACACTGTGGTATTGCTGGTTTGCGGGGGTTTTTTTCCCCTTCCAAAATGTTTGCATTGGTCAGCAAGCAAGGTGGCCATAGAAAAAGGAGCTCATATCTCAAATTTCACATCAGTTCTTCTGTGCACTGTAATATGACACCCAAAAAGCAGCTACAGCAACTTGGGTATGGCAGAGCAGACCCCCATCTATTTAAAGTTGGATGCAAAATTGCTACATGCACAATATAACTACACTGAATATAACTCTGCCTACCAGATAGGTATCGCTGCCTGTCTTCTAAACATTGACATGTCTTTAACAACCGTATTTTCCACAAATGGAGGTTACTGCAGCTTAAAAACCCCACAGAAATCTACACTCGCAGAATCCCACGGGTGTCTGTGAATAGGAAGTTAGGGGTGCAGTTACACCAGCCTTGCCAGCGACCCTGAGCAGCACCACCAGCGTGAGCTCTTGCACAGGTGAGCAAGCAGTGCTTCTTGTAACTGCTAAAGCAAAGGCAACAACTGACACAAACCTATTGCAATACAAACACAATAATTTACATCAAAGCGTTTTACAATCTAACGTGAATCTATCCTTTCATGTAGGGCATGGATTCAGCTTTATAAGTAAATTGCTTTTACTCCTTTATTTATCATAACACTTCAGTAATCTTTGTGTACTGGGAGTAGATCTTACAGCATATTCCTTTTTTTCCCCAAGCACATGAATCTTGCCTTCCAGAAAGCATGATCTCATTCTTTATCACTCTCCTGTAACACAGCCAGCCTTGCAGTCAGTTACTCTGCACTAGGTGAGAGTAAAAAACTTGATCAGCATTAAGGATCTCAGTCTCATCAGTGGAAATCCAGATTATTTCCACTGGTCCTACATGTTTTTATATAAAATGTTCTTATTTTTTATTTTAAAGGATACATTCAAGTACTTCCAGAGTGTCTCTCTAGATTTTTTTTTTTTCAAAAGAATTTTTAGCAACTTAATTTCATTTCTCACATCTTGAATTACTGCCAGCCATGCTCTTGAGGGATTTTCTAATCACACTTTTTGTTCTTCAGTGAGGCTGGTTTTAATTTTGTTTAGGCCTTGATAATAAAGCTTGAAAGCTTCCTAATTAAAAGCTTTTTCACAATAGTGTTCCTAAGTAGCATTTTAAGGAGTATCCCCAACAGTTGCTTGCTGACCCTGCCCCTTCTCAAAAGGGCCAATGAAGAAATGTAAAATCTGCTCAAAGTTGAAAGGAAGCAGTCTATGAAATAACACAGCAGCATGATCCTGGAGGACACAATGAGTCCTTCATTCACAGAAGCAGAAATTTCCACACGTTTTTAGACATTTTAGATCCTCTAGCTTGTTTAAACAGGAAATGAGCCAGCTTAATTGTAGAAGGGAGCTGCTTTTCCCCCCATGTCACCTAGAATATTAAGTTATATACAATTAGGGAATGGTACATAGAATACCAAAAATGGCTTCGGTTTAGTGATCATCAGTCACTTTTCCAAGTGCCATAAATTTCTGTTAGTGGTTTTAGCTAATCTAATTTCTGTTATCAACATATTGATTCATTGGAGATGAGAGATTAACTGTTTTTAAAAGACCAGTTGTCTTATATATTTCCCATGCTTAACCAGCGCCGATGAAAGCTACTGACCAATAGCCCTAAAGGCAGGGTCAGAAAAGGGAGTCATTATCATAAACTAACACATCTCAGCATGCTTCTACCAACGCTCCCTGCACTGCTTTTGCTTTTCCGTAGCCCCTGTCCCCTCTGCTGCCCAGTTATCTACAGGACAACCGCAGGACGCTGCACAACTGCCCGTGACAACTACCCAGCGGCTCCATTTCCCCAGCCGCAGCAGTAGTCTCACACTACTACCCCAGGAACGGCACGGTATCTAAACCCGCCGTTTGACAGACCACTGAACCCATCCCCTCACCATAACATTGCTGTTTTCATCACTCCATACTGAAAAAGAACACAGAGGCTAAAACAGGACTTAAATGAAACAGAGGGGACTACCCAACATAATTACCCAATGTAAGGTGCTAAATTCTCGAGGTGACCCAGCAAAAGAGAAGCTCTCCCAGGAGACACCTCCGAGCAGAAGGCACCTGCCCCGCACAGACCCTTGGGGAAGCCCAACTTCCCGAGGCAAGCACCAGAGCAGGCAGGCGGCATTAAACTCAAATGTCACTTAGCATGGCACGGGACTATACAATACACTGCTACTGCAGTGAGGGAAGAGCCAAGCCTTGTTCCTGCAGCCTGATTAGCCCCTAGACCCATTGCCATAGTGTTTGGCAAATTCATCCATCAGATCCGACAGCTTCTTCAAAGCATCCTACATCCCACATCCCACTGGATGAGCTGAGCTCTCTGCTCCCTTTGGGAAGCCCAGAAGCGAGCATATGTCAAGGGTCCTAGCTGTGCATGTACAAATAGACTGGGTTTTATCTACCTAACAATCTTTCTAACTTTTTCAGGGTGTGAAACAGCAATTCTATTCCCCATGCGTTCGAAAAAGATATTTGGGAGCGTTCACCCAACTGCTGGAATGACCCTTCACTCCTTTACTGCTTGTATCTGGATCAAGGTGACTGAGGTGTTGGACAAAACTATTGTCTTCTCCTACGGAACCAAGTTAAATCCATATGAAATCCAGCTTTATCTCAGCCAGGAGTCTGCAGTGCTTGTTGTTGGTGGTGACCAGCACAAGTTAGCTGTCAAAAACGTAGTTGCTCCTGGGAAGTGGATGCATCTCTGCGGTGCCTGGAGCTCAGAGAATGGATCTGCATCCCTGTGGGTGAAGGGAGAGCTCGCAGCCACCGCCTCAGACTTTGCTGATGCTCACACCGTTCCAGACGGAGGGATTTTGCAGCTCGGTCAAGAAAAGAATGGCTGCTGCATTGGGGGTGGATTTGACGAAGCTTTAGCTTTCTCCGGAAAATTAACTGGCTTTAACATGTGGGACAGAGTGCTCAGCGCCAAAGAGATAGCAGCGCAGAGCGGAGAAGATGCATGCAGTATCAGGGGAAACATCATTGGGTGGGGAGTCACAGAAGTTTTGCCATACGGAGGAGCCCAGTACGTTTCTTAAATTCTGGCAAGGCAGTTTCTGAAGCAGAGAACATATTTCACAAAGAGCCGAATGCCATTACGTACAAGTAAACAGAGCCGTAGGAGCCCGTGTCTCGAACTCCCAAGGAAGATGAGCGTTGGAAGTTTACAGAACAAGGTACTGTGGAGACAGGATTTGATCTCTGCCTGCTGTTTTGGCAAAACACTGAAAAAAATCAAAACCCCCCACATCAAGGCATGACATTGGAAAAGCTGTTCCTGAGGTCAGACGACTGGTGTCTCTCTAGTGCAGTGTTTTCTGATGTATAGAAGTGAGTGCCACTGTGGACATTTTGGAGCCGAACAGTGCTCCTGGCAGCCCTGTTGAAGCAAACACGTTGGGTATCCGGCTGACCAGTCTCTGCAGAACAGACGTAAGGCTGTGCATCTTCCAGGCTCCTCCAGTCATTGGTTTTTATAGTGCTAATGTGAATTGTACAGAGGAACCACATAAGCCAAGAAATGCGTTGTTTATTAATCGTCATTAGTAATTTGTAGACTATAAGAAAACTAGCTCCTTGTTTAAAGCATTATTTATGCCACGGATTGACCGAACATATAAAAGTAATATTTTCTCCATCATAAGCTGGTGTTACATTTGGAGCTGTATTATATTGTAAATTGACTTTGTAATAATTTTATTGAAATTATTTTTGTAAAGTTGTTCTGTAAATAAAGATACTTCACTAAACTAAAACTTTCCACGCTTCTCATGAACTGAAACTCTGAAAGTGAGTACCAATTGGGAATTTTTCCATGTTTTGAACCATGCAGTTTTAGCTGCTAATAGAAAAGAACATAAACATCAACATCTCATACAAATGGAGAGACCCTCAGAGGACCAAAATCCAAGCATTAGCCAGACACAGCTTTAAAGGCCCGTCATGATAACAATCCCTCTTGTGAACACTGTCACGTGCAAGGATCTGCCACTCTAGGAGTTCTCCTACATGGATGTGGTCATTTGTACAGAAGAGATGCTTTAACATACTGACACATGCGCCTTGACCTGAGGCTGTGGTAGCACAGCACTTGGAGACTGAAGGGAAGAGTGGTTTTGAGATATCCCCAAATAAAAAAAAAAAAAAAATTAAAAAAAAAATCAACCAGTACCCCATGCATAATGCTGGCCATCTGAGAAGCACATACCCAGTTTTAAGATATGTTTAGATATCCAAAGTAACCAACTTGTTTGATTCTAACAGGAGGTTTGTACAAGGCAAAATTGATGAATGTTTGGTGGCAGCAGCTTTCTTCTTTCACATTCACAAGCTTATCTAAAATCCAATAAAAACCTAGAGCTGGATACAGCGCATAAGAAGCCAGTGCAGAGAGCCAAGACACTGGTGGTGATTTCCGTGTAGAAAACAGAGCAGAAGTAGACAATGATGAATAGTTATTCACTGTATATGTAACCATTTATGACAAGAACGATTATTTACTACCTGTTGAAGCCTCTTAACAAGTTATCATGGAGAATGTCTTATTCAAAGCAATTCTTATTTCCACTGGAAACAGCCCACCCTTCTGCTCTATTCACATGTTTCTCCATCTTATTCTCTACAGATGTCCTAAGAAAACACTTTGAAAAGGTTCTTGACATGTTGCTGCTATGCTTATTTCCTGAATGTGACACAGCTACCAGATCGTTCCTTCCACGATACAAAAGTAGTAAGAAAAAGCTATGACAAGCTAATTTCCACTTTACTATGCCATTCAAGGGGGCTGTACTTGATACCTAGTTATAGGACCTGCTCCAAAGTTTTGTCAACACTGTTTATTTAAGGTAAAAATAACTGCTCCGATTGTTGGAATTTCTCCTATTAGACCACAATAAAAATACATCTAAATTAAGAAATGCTTAGTGGTAAGCATGACAAAAATCCCTTACTAAATAATATCTGCAAATAACCTTAACTACAGAACAATGAAAGATTATCTCCGTTCACCTGCTGTCAGCCAGAAAACAGATCTTCAGAGTTACGAAAAACACTTGAGGTCCCAACATTGTGCAAGGGCAAAACCGCTCTCAAATCCTCTTTCCATAGAGCGCCCCCCATTAAATGAAAACAAATGTCCGTGAAACGCAGCAGAAAAAGCAAAATCCTCAAAAAGATTACCAGAAATCCTTCCTGCCTACTTTTCTTACTGTACCCTCATACCTGAAATGCTTTGTCTTGGAAGTAGCCTTTTCCTATCTCTGTTCTGGTTTGGCAGATGACCAAATGCAAAGCCAGTCCCTTCATTCTCACTGACTCAGCTGGAAAACTCTCCTCTTTCCAACTGCTTTGCTCTTCCTTTATCACTTCTGTGGACTAGCAAAGCTTTCCCACAGTCTAGTCCCCTCTGTCACCTCCATCAGGACACTTCTCTCTTTCCTTCCTAGCTTAACTATGTTTTTCTTTGTTAACAGTTACTTTGCCTGTTTGGAAAACACTAAGTAAATAGTATTTTGGGGGAGTTTGGGCTCCAAATACGGAGAAGGCCTACTTTTGTAGGCCTACTCTTGCACTGCAAACGTAGAAATGAAAGAGCAAGCGCAAGACATGCATTTCTGGAGTATGTTGCTGAGCCCAGTTATGCTCTCTAACAAGCCTCTGCTGAATGCAACATCCACATCCCTTGCCTGAGCTCCTCTGAAAGGTGGAACAGCTGTGGGACTCTCAGATTACAGCAACAACTTCAGGGTAGTTTTGCTGCTGTCCCCTGGAAACGAGAATAAATCTGCCTGATCCCTTATGCTGATGGAAGGTGTCAGCACAAGGCCTGTCAGCATCACGAGCACAGTACAGACATTTGCATGTTTAGAAGCTGAGTTCACACTAACTGGAACAGAGTAGTTAAACACTCTTTCTAAAGAGCTCTTTTTTAGCTAATAAGATAAGAAACTGATTATGCAGCCAAACAGTTGCCCCAAGTAATCAAAAAATCCAGTTAGCTCTCAAACACTCGCAGGCAGCAGGCCAAAGTCTACTATCAGTCTCACTGGTGCCATTAGGCTGAGCCCTGTCTGTGCAGCACCAGAACAAGGCCTTTGTCTCCACGCTGCTTTGTAAATCCATCCTTAGCAGCTTATCCTCTAGCTTCTCTTCTCCCTTCAGCAAACACTCAGTCCTTAAGCGTGGTTCTTAGCCTGCTGCAAACCAACCTTTTCATGCCTGAAATACAAATTATGTACAGTGCAATTAAGCCACTATGCAAAACAAAGCACTTTGCCTATTCAGAGTGCCCTCTTCCAGTCTGGAATTTCCAAATCTGATGTCCACAGCAACATCTGCTGGTAGAATAACATAAATACACAAAAACAAGCAGGCTCAGTCATGATGAAACCTTCAGTTGTGGGTGTTTATCACTTTTCCCAAACCTATAACTATACCATAAAACCTGTTTCACTCTATTTGTTTCTATTAATAGCACTGAGTTACAAGTGGCAATGCACAATGTTAACACATAAATACTAATGTCACAAGTCTTAAAAGAATTATCCATGTGGCTTTGGAAGTTGTTAGCAATATTCTGTTCTTGGACTCTACTCAATTAGTATTATCACATAGCTCATACATATTTATCATATTTATCACACATTTGTCTTTAAACAAAGCAGACAGAAATATGCAAGCTCTTACCACAATGTCTTAGGGACAAAATTACTTTCTAGCTTAGCTATCCCTCCATAATATGCTCCATTTATATTTTTTAATAAATACAGAATGCATACATTTAATTCAAGGGCTTAACTTCTTCATAAAAATGTTCTTGGAATAATTAGACAGCTATTGCTACTTATTGCTATTGCTCATACTTGAAGAAGAACAAACAGTGATTTTACTACTGCAGAAGCACTGTATTGCAACAAATGCTGTGAACATTACTAGTTCAACTAAATTGGTCTTCCTTTTGTAGAGGTATGAATATTTTTGGCTTTTTAAACCACAAAAGTAAAATATACACAGTTTAGCATCAATATTCTAGGCAAAGCTAACAAAGTAGGCAAAATTGAAGAACCACTACAAAGCTTTTATATTTTACATCTGACTATTTTGCCACAGAATGGGATTCATTTCATCCTCATTTATATTTTGGAGTATTGCCAATGACACTAATAGAAAGGATAAGAGCCCAGTAACTAGCGTCTCATATCATGGCTTATAATTTGAAGTCCATTAGTACAGTATACTAACAAATACAGATGTTATTTCCTGCCCTATGGGTCATCCAATCTATAATAAGACTTCCATAGTCAACAAGGTTCAGTAAATTCACATATTCTTGAAAGGTCTTCCTTGATATAGTCTGTTATTAGATTGTGTGTAATATGTTTTATAGGCATGCTTTATACATACATGCCTCATACACGTTTTCATGTATAACGTGTTTGTATATATGGCTAATACAGCCTAACTAATCTAATGGTGGGCATGCTGCAGGACTAAATCCAAAATCTCAGTGCTTTCATACCTTGAAGGACACTTTTGACAATAGTGTCTGTGTGATCAGCCAGCAGATCTGCTTTAGCAATTGCAGCCAAGGATAGATAACTTGACATGTTTCTGCACAGTTCCTTATTGCCCCTCTGAAGAAATTTCACTGCCACTGGAACAGCTAGGGCCATTATGGGAGGTCGATTGTAATTCTGCAAAAACATGAAAAAGCACTGAAAAATAAGCAGCTGAAATAATGATTAAAATAAAGTCTCATGCTGATCAGAGTAGAAAAACAAAAATCAAAACAACAGGGGAAAAAAGCAAAAAACATGTCAAGAAAGGTTATGTTTTGGTAACACTGCTGGAGGCAGACTTGAAAGAAAGAGCAAGTAAAGAACTTTAAAACTACTGCGCCAGGAAATGCTAGTAATGCACCTATTTTTTTGATTCTGCAAGAGAAGGAGAGAACATGATATGAAGTGTACAAGTTAAATGTTAACTGCTGTAACATTTCTAACACGGTATTTTGTGTTTGGTGCTCTCAGAGAATACAGCA